TTCATTCACCTTACTAAATAGACGGTAAAAGAATGGTAGAGAAAAGATTTAAAAAATGTTATTATAAGTAACGTGATAAAAAATGAAAATTTATAAAATAAAAGTCATAGAAAATATGAGAAACTCATAATTAGTATCCTATACATGTAATTGATTACACGTGAGAATAGAAGTTGCAATCAGAGGAAATCATTGTGAGACTTACTTTTTATCAACTCTAAAGTCAACAAAGAATAGTAATGCTATTTGTACAATTTTGTGGTCACAATTGTGTTGCATCTGTGAATTAGCTGTGCTATCAAATCGCTCTGTTTTCAAGAAGAACAAACTTATGAAAGTCAGAAGAAGCCATAACGTGAATATGAACAGTTATATAGCGTGGCTCAAATAATTGCACAATAAAAAATTATTAAACAAAAATAGATACAAGAATCTACAGTAATTGGTAATATACATTGTATCATGTCCAATAAGAACGTGAGAATGGATAAAATTAATCTTAATTATATATTTTTTCAAAGTTTAATCATAATTTATATTATTTTAATAATTTGTGTTAAATTTTACTAAAATTACACACAAATATTAATTTAAAACTTTACATCATAATTTATGTAATAAGAGCTTTTAATCTAAAAGTACCATTAAAATTAATTTTTCATCTTTTTGATAAATCTACTTTATGATTACAATCCTAGATTACTATTAATATTATGACTCGCATTATTGAACAATTATTTATTTATTTATTTATTGCTTTTCTCTTTGTTGTCATTCTACCTACGACATATATTGATTTTAATGTTACTTGGATTTTTTCTAAAATAACTTTTTTATCAAGAAAAAATAAACACTGATAGAAAGTATAAAAAGCACTTGAACAAATGTACAAAAGCTAATTCTAGAGTATCTATCAAGTTCAAACATCATGTTGTAAACGTTTAGATGGCCAAACATGCAATCTGAAACGAAGTTCTAGATTTGCTATCCTTTTATTAGAATGACATACATCCCTGTTGACAATGATCCTTTACGAAGTACCAAGTTCTAAATTGCATCAAGTAATATATTTTTTTTTTCATGGGCATATGTTTCTGAAGATCCATATTGACCAGACAAAGTGAACCATGTTTCAAATGTGCATGTCCCTTTTTCTCGCCGTATCGAAGTGCATTAATAGATGGTCCTTGCAAGACAGTAGTATTGGAAGAACCATTGCTTGACCAAGTAATAAATAACATTTCCTCCAAATATTATAGGAAAAATAACATGAGAATAGAATTGAGTTTGTAGATTAATCTATAATAATTTGGACAATCTTTTCTTTTATAGCTAATTTTTGGACTTGGCTCCAATTTGTTCTTAATTTTAGTAAGGTAACAGAGCGAATTTAAAACATTATGATGAATCATTTGTATGTGTCTAATGATCCCCAACTAGGTATCTATCTTTCTTATAATACTTGACAATTTTCAACTAGATGTTATTTGGTTGAGTTATACATGATGTTATTCTTATAATATTGTTCCTTGCAAAGAACAAAATTAGTCCAAAACCCAACCTGAATCTTATCTAAGACATTCATAACCTTCTCTAAATAATAATAATATTCTGAGTTGCACCCTTTTACTACCTCACATCATTACCCGTAGATCTAATGGATGGACCTAATTAGTCAATGTTTTGAGAATCTGGATAAGCATCTAATTAAGCAAGTCTGAGGAGCACTTTGATTTGTTATATTTCTCTTTTCTGCCTCCTTTGGTTGTGAAATTAGAGTCTACAGCATGATGTGCAATTCTCTACCTACTACTGCCTTATAACTATCTTCTTTTTTACTCCTTCATGATTTGCTCTCTTTTTTCTTTAATTATTAACTTTTTACCCAACACCTTTTCATCTGCATTAACCGTCTTCACTGCCACTATGAGTAGGAAAAAAAATTTAAAATAGCTAAAATTTGATCTTTTCAATTCAGTCGTGCAAAATGGCCACTGATAGGAACGCAGATATCTAGTTAAAAAGAAATTTATTAATGATGTTTTGGCACAAATTTCCATCAATCAACGAGTCATATCATCTTGGTCCATAATTTTCTTTGACGGTACTTTATTATTAAAAAAATTATTAACCTTAACCCTTAGAGCTTAGGATTAACAAATAATAATAATAATATTTTAATAAAAAAAGAATTATTTATTATATTTTATAATTTTAATACAATTTATATATATATATATATATATATATATATATCGTAAAAAAATTTATTTGGAGACACTTAATCTCAACATTAAAGATTAAAGTTAACAAAATCTTTTAAAAAAATTGACTGTAATCAGAACAAGCAAGCAAAGAGTGAATTTGGAGGACAAAAAAATATGAGTAATGCTCTCAAGACATTCTCTTGACACATTTTTTTTGTAACACATTTTCTTGTTACTCTTAAATTAATGTTTATCTTACACTCCACTGTTTTACGTTGAATATCTAAAGCAGTTTAGACTAAAGGGATATAATTTAGGTCGATTAGTTATTTGTTGACTCAATCCACCTCCATGTGGATTGCCTACAAAGCAAAGGTAATTAATTTATTCTCATGAAATAAAATAGTTACACTTCATCTATCTTTCCTTTTTTGGTCAACAATGATTCAATTCTCAAGTCCAATGAAAAGTCACTCTACACTTACAATTATCATAATTGAGCGATTTCACTATGCTACAATACAAAACATTACATAATGCAATATAATTGCTTAAAGACAGCTAAACAATTCATAAATTCCATCGCCGTTAAATTGTCTTCAAAATCAAATATCTCTTATGCAAAAACAAACATTCTCTTAAATTTCCGCTTATTTTTATCGTTTTTACATTTTTTTTAACATAATCAGCGACACAATACTTTAGATCTAAGGATGACAATAGATAAAGTATCCAATGGGCACCCACAAAATTTACCCACAATAGATAGGGTATTTACTCGCTATACGGGTACGTGTATAGATGTGGGTAAAAATTCATAAATTTTAATGGGGATGGGTGGGTGCGGATATGGGTATCTAAGTACCTACCACGCTCAATACCCGCATATATATATATAGCTTAAACTTTATTCTATAATTATACATTAAATTTTTGTATTATTATATTACTTATGTGAAGTTATATAAGATTAATATAAAAATATATTTAATAATAAAGTAAACCAAAAAATTTATTTTGGTTTATATTTTTAAATAAAAAATTTTATTTACTATTTTATATCATTTAATTAGACTAATACAATTTAATTATTACATAGTTAATATGAGATTGACTTTCTTTTTAAATATTATTTATATATGACACACATAAAATATTTTTTACACAAATATTTTTGTTAATAAAATCATATTAATGTTTAAATCATAAAGTGAATGATAAATAATAAATATATTGTAAATATTTTATAAATTTTACAATTACCTACTATTACCGTAAACTTATTATTTATTAATAATATTTAAATTTTATTTTTTATATTTTAATTTAAAATAATATTTTTCTATACAACATATGTATTACAAGCACAACTATAATCTATTGAATCTAAATAATATTATTCTTACTATTTATTTATGTTCAAAGAAGTTTTTGAAAAGATATAAATATAAAAAATTATTGTTAATTTTTATTTGTTAATTTTTTTAGATAAAAAAGTATAATTTTTAATATACATGTATATTTCTTTATTATAAAATTTTATTGTAACTATTTATCTTTTATTCAAATTCTTTCTTTTAAAATTTATATACATTATAAATATTTAATTCATTAAAATAATTTTTTAAAAATTTGTATTTTTGATAAAATACTTTCGTATAGTATATGAGTTAAAAATACTAGTATTAATATATATATATATATATATATATATATATTATTTTAATTAAATCTATTATTTTTCTTACAATTTCAAATTCAAAAGTTAAAAAAAATATTTTATGTATCCATTTTCTGTTGTTAGTATTGAACTTCTCTACTCTAACTCTATTCTCATTCTCAATGTCTGTTTTATTAAAATCTAACAACTATGAAACGTTATTCATTAGAGTTAGTTGTCAATGCCGTTACAAGATGTCACTAAGTGATCCCACACGAAGAGACAACCATTGTACAGATCTATTTCGTTGTGACTTTGACATTACCAATTGATCAAATCTCACACAAGATAGAGTTATCACTGACAAATAACTTGTGTGTTTAGTTTCGCTTATTGTTTCTATGAATTTTAATTTAGAAAATTATTATATTAACATACATTTAACATTTATGATCTTTGAATATTTATTTTTTTATCTATGTTTGTATCTTGTTCGGTAACTACATATTAAATTTTTGTATTATTGTACTACTTATGTGAAGTTATATAAACATATTTTTCTTTATAAATATTTTTTTCTCAAACAAGTGCGGGTAACGAGTACAAGATAAGTATACATATACCCAGAGAATACGAGTACGGGAATTAATGTTCATACCCACGCGGGTACAGGGTCGGATACGGGTATTTTTTTTTAAACACGGGTATAGAAATAAATATTATAGTACCCTACCCATACCCTACCTATTGTTATCCCTGTTTATATCCTTTTAACTTTAGGATAGACCTATATATTTCAACACTACATTCCTTGTTTTATCTGTTTCTTTCATGGGCCTTAGGCTTATACGCTGAAATGGGCCAAAATACCCAGTAGTTGGATTGTGAGTCAGTATAAAAATGGTGATGCAGTTAAGATTTTAGGCCGAGCTCTATCCAAATCAGGGTATTGAGAAAAAAAAATTCCAAATTCTGGTTTGACTTTTACTCAGAGAAAAAGGGAATTCAAGCTAGACTTTTAATTTATTGATAAAATTGTTGATAACAGATAAGCAGACCATTTTGACACGCTTTCTATTAAAAATATAATAACAGGTATATATAGCTCCAAGGTTATGGGTCACATTGATGTTTTTATTATTAAAGATAGTGGATCCAGGCATGAAATTGGATCCAAGCAAAAACCCAGTCCAACCAGGCAGCAAAAGCGAGTGAGTGAGTGACACACCTGAAACCGAGTCAACTCGGAGGCGCAAAAGCCAAAACTCCTCTTGGGATTTTCCAAGTGTCGCGAGTACCACGTCCACAAACACAAACACAACAATGGAAGAACAGCAAAAGCTTATGGAATCATCATCGTACCCTTTCTACTGGGGTTTCACCCCAGAAGAAGATTACTACAATCAGCAAGGAATCAAAGCCTCAAAATCAACCTTCACCACACAACGAGGCATCACACTCTTCACAAGATCATGGCTTCCAAACCCCAATACACAACCACGGGCCTTAATCTTCATGGTCCACGGTTACGGCAACGACATCTCTTGGACCTTCCAAGCCACTCCAATTTTCCTTTCCCAGATGGGTTTCGCTTGTTTCGCTCTCGACCTTCAAGGCCATGGACACTCTCAAGGCCTCAAAGCCTTCGTCCCTAACGTGGACCTTGTTTTACACGATTGCCTCTCCTTCTTCAATTCAATTAAACAAAACCCTCTCTTCAAAGGGTTGCCTTGTTTCCTATATGGCGAGTCCATGGGTGGTGCCATATGCCTCTTGATCCACTTCGCTGACCCTAATGGGTTCCAAGGTGCCATTTTGGTGGCACCCATGTGTAAAATTTCTGATAAGGTTAGACCCAAATGGCCAATTCCTCAAATTCTCACTTTTCTTGCGAGGTTCTTTCCCACTTTGCCCATTGTGCCTACCCCGGATCTTCTGTATAAGTCTGTGAAGGTTGATCACAAGAAGGTTGTAGCTGATATGAACCCTTTGAGGTATAGGGGCAAACCCAGGTTGGGGACTGTGGTGGAACTCTTGAGGGTCACTGATTTATTGAATGAGAGGTTGTGTGATGTGAGTCTTCCATTTGTGGTGTTACATGGTAGTGATGATGTTGTCACTGACCCTAATGTGAGTAGGGAGCTGTATTGTGAAGCTAAGAGTGAGGATAAGACCATTAAGGTCTATGATGGGATGATGCATTCTTTGTTATTCGGGGAAACCGATGAGAATGTTGAAATTGTTAGGAAGGATATTTTGTCGTGGTTGAATGCTAGGTGCAATGGGGATTAGAAGGGAAGGATTGTTTGTTATTTATTGGGTTTTGGTAACTGTATGGTATGGTATGAAATGTGAATGTGTGATGATGATGCATTTGATGAAATTCCTTCCTCAAATATGTAAACAGTTTCTATATAAAAACTGTTCTTCTTCAAAATACACGAGACATTTTCTTGTACCAAATTCATGTGCATGTATATACACATGTTGAAAGTTTGGGACATAATGGGCATACTGTGTTTTGGGGGAGTGGCATATGTTTTGACAATAAGGGCGGGCAAAGGATAGTTACACGCCTGGCAGAAATCATATTTATTTATCCTGGTAACAACACATTCTGAAATATATTCTTCTCAATGCATACTATTATTAGTTGAAATTTCTTGTTAACTACCAAATTAGAAGAGATTTATTAAATTAGGAGGCAGACTCTTGTAATTTTATAATTTTTAATAAACTATAGTCAATAATTGGTAGAAATAGTATCGTTAACACTTCTCTTTATATCTCGTTATTTACAAACAAAAGATGGGAGTTTTAGAGTTGCCATTAAGTGTAGCTATTACCATGAGACACGAAAGCTAAATGCCCTAGGTTGCAGCTCTCTGCAAAATGTATAAAGAAACATGTATAAAGCGTTTAAATGCCCTATAGGTTGAGACACAATTGTTTTGGATTAAACCGAAGAGACCGAAAAAATGTATAAAGCGTTTAAATAAATTGAAAGAAACATTTATATAGTGTAAGGGAAGTCAATTTTTTGTTTTCCTTAATTTTCATTTAAATTTTGTTCATTTTTTATTATAATTTTTATAAATCATTTTTGCATCATACTCCTATTACATTCTTGTTAATCATTAGATAAAATGTAAGGCGAGAACTTAATTTAAATAATTAAGAAAATATGAAGATTAAATGCAAGAATTTGGAGTAGGAGAGTTCAAAATTACCCATAAACTAAAATATAGACTAAAAGAGTAAATTAAACATATTAGTTTAAATTTAAACATCCAATTCGAGATAATATGAAGCTATAAATGGAGCAAGGAGACGCATAATAGATTAAATTTAAATTCATATACTCAAAAAAATCCTGAACAAACTATTCAAGAACATTTGAATAAATATTACACTAACAGGACAAAACTTGGAACAGCCCGCTCCGGGGCAAAGTGACATGCACAACAGTAACAATGATATCGATTTTAATCTGTAACATTGCATATAAAAAAATGGACATGAAGTGGAGCACCAAAGGAGGAAAACGGTAAAGAAAAAAATTATCTATGTTATTTACACTGAAAAGAACAATCCACGAAATCTTTCTATGTTTGCTATATATGCTACAACTCTCTACATCCTATACTTACTTGAGAGATTAAACTAAAACTTTCAGGTCAAAGAATGAAATATTCATTCTAACCATATAAGCATTTCGTATAATCTTCATGTCAAGGGTCAATAGCGATCTTGTTACAACTATGAATCCATTGTTAGAAAATGTCTTGTTTCCGTTTCTTTAGTGGTCACCATAAACACACCTACGATGACACGTACCCCTGCCCCCAGGGAAAAAATCACCAATCCAAAAAAATTAAGCTTTTATCTGTGAATATGTAGGTTTAATCACATCATGAACAAGTATTTTAAATCATCCACAGTGAGGCGACTCTGACGACCACCAGTTCCATCCTCCCCAAATGCAGAGGCAACCATCATTCGCTTTTTTTGCTGCAAAAAACATTTAAGAGATTTTCTTGCGTAAACAGCCACTCCATTTTACATATTTTTTATAACACAATGTCGTGCAATGAAATTTTCAGTAGAAACAGTGCACTAGTGAACAAGCGATTTAAAGGGTAATAAAGGAAAACACTTAACCAAAACAGTTTTCAGATAACCTGTCACATAATTCAAAAATATTCCCAGATACAGTAGCTCCATCAAAGAATCGTTTTTATACATGAAACAACACAATTATTCAGCGCACACGAGTCATTTCGTACAAATAACAAATTTCAAGCACTTCAACCCAACAAGGTTTTCATGCGTGAACTCATGGTGATCCAAGCATTTCATATAGAGATATAGACGCCATTGACCGTTTAGAAGCATTCTAATCTCCTTCCAGCACAATTTATCCAACCACATAGACACACTTTCAAATATCAGGTACTAGACTGACTTTAGATATCATTGTCACTTAGAGTGCAAACTAGGACAACATTAAACACCTCCTATAACACAAGGAAAATAATTAAAAGCAATTTTATATGGCATAAATTTACCTGCAGAGCTAGAATACGATCTTCAACAGTATCTCTAACAGTTAACCGCAAAACAGTCACAGGGCGAGTCTGCCCAATTCGATGTGCTCTATCTATTGCTTGGTCTTCAGTTGTAGGGTTCCACCATAAGTCTAGCATAAGAACATGGCAAGCTACCACCAAGTTTAGACCAAGACTGGCAGCCTTCAAAGACATAATCATAACAGATACCTACAAGACAACATGTATCATTCAATGTATCTCGCTGCTAATTTTATGGCATGGAAAATAAAATTTCAACCATGATTTTAAGGGATCTGCTACTTTACAAACCTCAGGAAGAGTGTTAAAATCTTTAACAGCTTTATCTCTAGCAACAACTGACATTGTTCCATCAAGCCTTCTATACTGAATTGAAGAATTTTTAAGACATACTTCAAGCAAATCTAGCATCCTCGTCCACTGAGAAAACACTATTGCTTTCTCCCCTACAACAGTCATTGAATCATTAGAGCCTCCATTCCCAGACAAATTTTGACTCTCAGGAGAATCTTCAAAGAATTTCCCATTTTTAGCATCAGATGGGTTACCAGGGCAGTCATTATTTTCCCTGAAAGTGCTTTGCATAGAAATACTTTTTGATGTATAGCACTGTGGCTTGCGCAATGACTTCAAAACCTCAAGTGAAGCCTTTATTTTTGAAGAATCATATGGCTGACTCTGAGACCAAGGCTCAAATTCCTCCACTTCAGAACCAGAGCAACCCGATGAATTATCACAGCCCTGGTCAGAAAGACAACTGTTCAGTGTGGTTTTTGAAAACACCGAGGATTTGCGCAGTCGACTTCTGCAATTTGTAGCAGGGCACTGATTGTCATCATCATCACCAGTAAGATGTTCACAAATGCACTGATTACAGAAAACATGACCACAAACTGAAACAACAGCATCTTCAGGAGGATCCTGTCCAGAAAACAAGTAATACGAAAGGTTGAGCAGAGGAAATAGGCAGGACATATACATTGCCAATAAATATGGTAACATCAATCATACAAGTCCTTTAGCCTTGAGTATAATCCCTTCCCATTCTCTGGATGGAAAAAGAAGTAAACAAAACCCTTTCCATCCCCATCCATTTTTACTCTACTCTTTCAACTACTCTTACAGTCTTACCCCTTCCTCTTCCAAGCATAACAAATAACCCTAAGAGTAAGAGGTCACATAATAATATACAATTACAACAGGCCAATTTGTGTGCAGGCAAACAAATTACCATGGACACAAACATGCAATCATACAAATCCATATTTGTAAACATTCATGGATGGTCAATACATACATTACAAATGCCACAGAGCGCCAAGGAAGCCTCTAAACATTTCAGAAGAGAGATTTGCTTTTCCTGAGGAAGCTTCTTTGCCATTTCCACTGAAGATTTCCATAGAGAATTAGAATTGTAACGCTTGACAAGCAGAGGGTGATCGCAAGCTTGTCTAAGGCGCAGAAGCATCAGTAAAATGTTGACATAATTTTGCTTGACAGTTCCGGCATCAGCATATTCCTGACATGACATCGCATCATTCACATGTCCTTAGTGGACTAAGAATATGGCTTACCATGAAAATATACTTCCACAAGCAATACTACTATCAAGTGCTCACACTTGATTTGGGTTGCAAAAACACATGCCATACCTGAAACTGTGCCCGTGAATCAGCCTCCAGTCTGGAATAGAAATCACGTTCCTCCCTTGAAAAATCAACTTTTTTCAGCTCTATAAATTTTGGCGGCAAGGAAATAATAGGTTCTCCATCTAGCAGTGTGCCTGCAGAATATAATCACCATCACAAATTGATGGGAAAAAAATCAAATTTATAACATGATTTTCTTAGTCGAATGAGCCTGCATGCAATGCAATAGCTAACAATACAAGAAAAGGAGATGGTCAAACAATTAAAAAAAATCTATGATTCAACTATATGCCTAAAGTTCTATAAATGTAAAAAGGTTTAGAATAGTAAATTGAAGTGATAAACATATTGGAAGACAATGGATTATGCTTTAGGATTAGGGCAACAAAATAAGGAAATAACTAATAATTTAGTCTACTGATTTTATGATGTGAAATTCATGTATTCAAATGAATCAAGTCGAACCTTTGGTCCGACGTAACATTATTGTCTTCAAGACAGCTTGTAGCTTTCTATATCCTTTTGATGGATTTCTGTTAATTGGGATCTTAATTGTAGAACAAAATGATGTATAGACAGCATAAGGGTCATATCTAAGGAATCTGAAGTAACTGTAAAGATCATCAATTGCATTCTGGATGGGAGTCCCTGACAAACACCATCTTCGCTTAGCACGAAGACCCCAACAAGCCCTTGCAACTTGTGTTTTGTGATTCTTTATACTCTGGGCCTCATCTAGGACAACCCTAAACCATGCCACCTTTGCTAGAGGTCGAGCAACAGCCTCAAGAATTGTGCCATCTGATTTCTTCTTGCTACTTTTACTAGAATTAGAAGGGCTTTTTCTTTTCCTATTTGGTCCAGCATGATCTTCAAAAATTCCCCTTTCTTCATCATCCTTATCAACTAGAGGCTGCTTAGGGACCTCCATGCTGACAATAGAATAGGTTGTTAGAACAACATCATACTTAGCCACCTCGTATGGATCTTTTGTTCGATTGCTTCCATGGTACACTAGCACAGAGAGGTTTGCCTGGCTAGTTACCTTATTATTCAACTCCTCAGCCCATTGGCGCAAGACACTAGTGGGACAAACAATAAGGGTTCCAGCAGATGGCCTTCCCTTTGCTTGCATAAACAAATCCATGCTTTTGATTGCATTCATACTTGACTTATCCTGACACATATTAGATCCATCCTTTACTTTACCATTCTGAGGAACCTCATCATCATCCACATCCAGATTCAGAGTTTCCAATTCACCTTTTGGGGCATTGACGCACTCATTGAATATTGGAGGTCTTTCCTTTAATATTAATGCAATAGTTGATACTGTTTTTCCAAGTCCCTACAATAGAAAAGTTTATAACTCACTATAACACAAGAAAATCACATCTTATGAATCAGTTATCATCTCATATTAACATTGTAGGCAACTTACCTGATCATCTGCTAGAATTCCTCCAGAGCAATATAAACTTGATGTTTCCTTTTGAACCATCCATGCTAAAGCAATTCTCTGACCAGGACAACTACAATTAATTGGAATGACGGATGTCCCAAATATACAGAGAAAACAAGTTATAATAACAACAATATCTCAGGAAAGATGGGGTTGAATTTGCAAAGGACAGGTCAGGAATCAGAATTTAGGATAATGGCACCTTTGAAATTTCAAAATTTTAAAGAGAAGGAGGGTGTGCTCAAGCTCACAGAACTCAGAATCAGTACATATAAAATAGTGTGTCTACAATGCATTCACTCCTTAAAAAAAGGAAAATGTTAATCTCAGTTTTAGGACTAAGTTTAAACACCTGATAATGGTAAATTTTTATAAAAATGGAGCATTTACTATATGTTTGTACTTTTAATGTCATGGATATTTATATTTCCAATAAATGTTTGCTACATTTGAAAGCTTAAACTCATCCTTAAGGACTAATGTTAGCAAAATCATTAAATAACTCAGAAGTTTTCTTTATTCTCTTTTCTATTGCCAAACTCCAGATCCAAACACCAATACCCTGATCCAACTTTGTTTCAGCCTGAACACCAGTGGGCAAGAGATCTAAACCGAAGTATTTTTAAAGGAGATACCAGATAAAAGAAATTAAAAAGGTTGGACAATAAAAGTAACCTGGTGTCGTAAAAGAGGAACTGCCAACAATCCCTCTGGTGGGCTAACTTCTGACTTTGGCTGAGATAGATCCTAGATTCAACCACAGAAGAGTTATGCGCAATGGGAGAAGAATATTCCACATCTGGTAACAGCTAACAACGATAAAAAAACCATAAAATAAAGATTAAAGATGCCAACCTGCAATGCAACTCGTAATATATTTCGCTCATCACATGTCTTCAGCCTTGAGCTTCCAACCATGTAAGGTTGGGAATCAACATATCTATAAGATTGTGATATATTAAGGGGATTTCCAATGTCTGCAGATTGACTTGTTGGCACAGGATGACTAATGTCTTCAATAATGCAAACATCAGGGTCGGTCTCAACTTGGAAATTGTCAGCTCTACCTCTTGAAAGATGAGAATCAATATGTTTATGTTGAATCATTTTGCCTCCTCCTTCTCTCTTAACACAACCAAACTGCTTTTCACTGGCAATAAGTGCTTGAGCATTAGGGCAAGGTTTATCTTCATCTTTTAAATTTGAATTGCCCATGTTTCCTTGAAAACTAGCAGTCCCATCAATGATATATTGATAATGATTGGACATGTCTGATGTTCTAACTGCACAATTATCCTCATTCTTAAAGCATTCATAGGTCTGACACCCTGTAGGAGAAAAAATATCAGGTGTTTGTTTCATCTCTTGAACTAAATTGAACTCAGCATCATTGTTGTGAAAATTGTTTTGGTAATGATCTCTGTATGACATGTAAGAAGCACAAGCTGAAAGCGGCAGTGGTGACATGTCATCAAAAAAAACTTTAGTAGAAAAAGATGATGGATAACCACTATCAGCTAACATAATTTGACTATCTTGAAAAGATATTTCCCCAATAGAGCTTGAGGGCATGCCATTACTCATGCATGCAATGTCAGTATTTAACTCAACATTTTCAGCCTTCATGTTATTCATTGTTTCTTCATTTGTCCACAATTGAGAATAAATACCATTAGGCAAAAAACTGAGAGAAGCGTCAGCAACAGAGGGTCTGTTGTCTGTTCCCTGGTAACAATTTGAAGATAGATGATAGTCAATAAAATCACTGGAAACATGGGAACCTTGACCAATATTAGAATCAGCTGAAGTTGCAACATGCAAAGATCTATCAGCATCTATGAAAGATACTTCAAAAGATGTACATGATTCATTTTCCTGTTGCCCAGAAACTCCTCCAATAATGTCGTCAACATAACCTTCAATATTTAGATCACCATTCTCAACAATAGAACTGAGTGAAGCTGAACCATCTGCAAGCAGAAAATAAAATCAGATCATTGCTTGAGTTTCAGATGTACAATGTCTAAAGTAAAATTTTGAGAGTATCACACAAATGTCAAATTGTTCTTAATGATAATTTGACACAAATTGGTATCAACTACACAGAACAAGCAATGCACACACACACAGATACAGAGGATGAATATCCTACTACCATAGAGCACTGCTCCTATTGAGAGCTACTGTTTTCTACCCATAACAACCAAAAGCCAATATTCCCTCCCAAGGTAGTCAAAATCAAGATCCTACCTAGGACTTAAAAGGCTAGAGAAACACATAAATCGTGTAATAATAACACAGATTGAATCTAGGGCCCCAAATAGTGTAGCAACCAAACCAAAGCTAGTAGTAGTTGAACCAACAAGAAAATGAACAGGGTGTTAAACTCAGAAGCAGAAAAACTAAAGTGAAGCCTGCCAAACCCAGAAGTAGAACCAAGGAAGGACTTGGAACATTTGTGTGCATAAGAGCAAAAACAAAAACAAAAAAAAAATGAAGAAAAAAAATGAACGAGATTAGGTCATTAATCTAATCAGTCAGATTTACCAGTTCTTTTAAAAGAAACAGGTTCCAGTATGATTGGAAAATTGTTCAATCCCACAATCTTACAAGTAAGATGTTACAATCCTACAGATCCTAGCAAAATGAGTTAGAGCGTGATCAGGATTGCTAAGGCACAAGAAAATTGTAAAATATTACAAACTTTGATCCCCTTCTGATCCTACTAAGATCTCGATTTTGACTACCATAATCTTACAAGTAAAATCATGATTTTACACATACCTCACTCCCTCTCTCATTACCAAAAGCAAATCTCCACTAACCAACTCCTAGCATGTTCTCTCTCCTTGCCACTTCAGCATCCCTTAGTATGCACCATCCTGTGGCCCATATCTGCAATAAAATATGCTGCACCAGGTAACAATCTTCTCCTCAAGATTGCACTGGTGGGAATTGACTCCTGATTGTGCACTCCTCTTCCCAAGTTGCTTTGTCAACAAGTTTCTCATTCCATTGTTTGAGTTATTGGTTCACAATCTCCCCACACTTATTAATTTGTCAAACAGCCAGAACTAACAAAGGCTCCAGCAACTCCTAAAATTCCTCATCTAAGCTTTGACTCAACTCTTCTTACACTTGGCAATCCCCAACTACTTTCTTCAACAGAGACACATGGAACCGATTCAAGAGGTTGTAGGCAACTTAAGTTTATAAGCTATAGCTCCAATTTGTTGAAGAATTTTGCAAGGTCCATAGTATCAAGCAGCAAAATTTGGGTTGATTATTGCTTGTGAGGTCTCAACTTAAGGAAAACCCATTCTCCTACTACAAAACTCCTCTCCTGCCTCTTAGTGCCAGCTTGACTTTTCATTCTACTTTAAGTTCCTAGTACATAATGTTTTAACTGTCTTAATGCTACACCTCTGTCCATTAGCTCCTTCCAAATAGCTTCCACTCTAGTCTCTCCATGCAAAAATTGGATAATTGCAGGTGGTTTCCTTCCACACGGTCTCAAATGGGGTCTCACTAGTGAACCCATGGTATGTAGTATTATATCAGTACTTAGTCCAATGCAATCATTGAGCCCAATTCTAGGGTTGGTCAACAATATAACACCTCAAATAAGTCTCCACACACCTATGAATGACCTCAGTTTGACCATCTGTTAATAGATGGCAAGCAAAGCCCATTTTTAATCATGTTCCTTGCAATTTAAAAAGATCCTTCCAGAAATGATTCACAAAAATAGGATCTTTGTCCTTGAGAATGGAGGCTGGAACTCTAGGCAACCTAATCATCTCATTAGTGAACACCTCAGCCACACACCTTGCAGTGTAGGGATATTTTTAACCTATAAAATGACTGTATTTAGATAGTCAATCCAGCACTACAAAAACATAGTCAATCTCAGATAGCGGCACAGAGTGGCCAACCTCAAATGCTATAGTGGAATAGCAAATAGCGAGATAACCATTATTCTGAAAATTTAAAATAAACTCAATATAAATTATGTTACACATATATATGCTGAAGATTTCAAATTCCAATCATTTGGAGGGATTCTCAAGGGTCAGAACAAAACAAAGAAAAAAAAATAGAACAAAACAAAGTGGTCTCACAAGAAAAATCCCCCAACACAAATGGTCTCGCCAGAAAAAATGGGTCTTGTTGGAAATGAAGAAGATAATTGTAACTTGGCTGGATATAGTCAATAGAGTCAGACTTTGGTTGGAAAGTAGCCCCTAACGCAAATGGGTTAGGTTAGAAATGGGTAGGTCTCGCCGGTTATGAACCAAAAATTGGTCAAAAAAGGATGTGAGCTAGGATGAAGCTTGTTGGGCGAAACAGAAGCTGCCAAAATTGTGATAACAAAATTGGTACTAGTGTTTGTAGCCTTCAAAAAGATTTTTTCTATTTTCTTCTTTAAACCTGTGACAAAATATTCAAAGTATCGATCATCCAATAGCCAGCTGAGCTGTTAGACACTCAAATTCTTAAATGTATTCATCTAGACTCTCCCCCATTGATGTACAACAATGAGTTGCTTAAACAATTCTTTTGCAGTTTTTCCCATCCCTTTATACTGATCCAGCAATTCAAGCTTGAATTGTTCCCACATCAAATCCTTGTCATCACTCAGCAGTGAATTGAAGAAATGGATTGTATTCCCTTTCAAGCACAACTGGGCTAAATTGACTCGAACATCAGAATATTTCTTGAATTCTAAATAAATTTCAAATTGCATAATCCATCATCGAGTAGGCTCCACCTTCTTTATCGAGAGTATGAAATCCTCAAGCAACTCTTCTTAAAGCTTCTATAGCCCTCTCAAGAATTTTTCACCATTGCCTTCAGAGCCACTCAAACTACTTCTCTCCCATTATTGCCTTCAACTGCAAGGCTTTAATTAGTGCAATCAACATCACCTGATTCTCACCCATCTTGGTCTTCATCTCACACATGGTGGCCTTGAGAGTCAACAGCTCGATCTCCATTTTTGTTACTTTAGCTTCCATTGTCTTATTGTTCTACAATTTCTTCTTTGGTGGCATTAACATTGCATACACCCCTAAAGTGTTGATCACATCCCACCTCCTTCGTATCAAGCAGGTCAAACTAGTTTGATACAAAATAGTATCCACTAAACAAAACAAACAATGCACACACACACAGTCAAATAGGTAAGTTTATTGAATTGAAATTAGATATTTCAGAGGATGAATATCCTACTGCCTTAGAGCACTAATCCTGTAGAAAGCTACTACTCTCTAACCTTTAACAACCAAAATAGCAATTTTCTCCCCCTATAACCGAAAGCAATATCCAGAAACAAACCCCTAACTCAATCCTGTTTCTCCTAATATACCCCCTCCACACCTTAGGCCCTTTAACTATTTGTTGAGCTAACTAATTCGTAGGGCCGATATCTGCATTAGAGGACCTATAATAATCTAGTGAAGATTTCACATATGTTCAGATTCAACATCCTCTCCCACATGCTTGGATTGGATCTCATTTTCACCCTTTGACAAACTCAAATTCAAATTATTGCCACAAATCGATTCAATGTTTAAATTTGCCTCAGTGAAACTTGTTTCCACACTAAAGTAGGCATCTAATGTTTAGAAACTCTTGCGCTGTCTGTAGCAAATCTCATCACTTTTACATGAAGCGAATGAGTCACTAAAATTACCAGGAAAAGCATTTGGTGAAGAGCAAGCCTGAGAATGGGGCCCCTGGTTTTCAGGTTCACGGTCGAGCATAGAATTTGCTGCAGAATCAGAAAAGCCAACTGAACCTTTGGCACCAGAATCTGACACATCTGAGCAGAATGGAGAACAGCTTGTGACTGAATCAACGAAGTCCAACCTTGAAAAATGAGGTTCTTCTAACACTTGAGACCCTAATGAATAGGAAAAGAATAAATCTAGTGTAAGGTATTAATATCCGTAATGATCTATCAAATCAATGGTTCAGAATAAACAGGAAGATAAACATTTCTCACTATTGACAGAAATAGCAACCAAAAAGTACAAGTAATATTACTGGAAAAACCGACAAGTTTACATACCATTTTGTATCTGAAAAGTATCATGAAAGCCAAATTCACTAGGTGAAACATTTTTTGATGAAGAATCCTCAGGACTATTCTGCTATGACATCAAGACAATAAGTATAAGGATAATATCAAGCATAAAAAGTCAAGGCAAACAAAAAAACGTAGTACCAAATAAAAAAATAATGCTGAATGCAAAAGAGATAGAAGAAAAAAAAGAAGGATAAGATTTAAAATTAGACAATTCTTTCAATTTTGTTTTCAAATAAAAAAAATTATAAAGACAAAAAAGGCCCAATTATTTTTGCAAAAACAGCATAAAGCGCAGATGATATGGCTTCCCAGACACCAAGAAGAACATCAAGCCCTTATCTGCATTAGAAATAAAACATACTCCCACCCAATCGCCCATCAATATAAAAACAAAATAAAAATAAAATTTGACAACTGAGCATATCAGTTATAAAACCAAATAGCCTTCATCGTTTTAGTGAACAATTTTAAGATGGAAGGTGTAGTAAAAAAACATTTTTCTTCCTAACAGCACAATAATGAAGAACACAAAATGTTGAACCAAACACAGTAACCTATACATGACCCCAAGTCTAAGATATCATGAGGTCATGACAATTTTTCACTTGCAATAGTAATTACACACTGGCATTTCAAAAGCTAAATAAGTCGTGCTAACATTTTTACTGAAAAACCACTTCAAAGCTTTCTACTAGTAAACACACTTCATTGCACGAATTAATCTTCATTTTTATTACAAAAGCTTTAGGAAGGAGGAAGGATCTCTCATTGTAAGATCAGGCAAGCCCCACGGCTAATTGGGTTACCCATCAGCAAGAATCGAACAAAACACCTTCATGCTGAAAGGTTGGATCCAATCACTTGTGGTCAAGCTATTAACTTTCTCTGTTAATAACCTTGTGATGAATTTCTTACTTTGCCTGAGCTACAGAATAATTACAGATGCCCGCCAATTGATCAACAGTTTTCTCTCAGTCTCACCAGTTCTGAGGAAAATAAATTACTTAATAAAAAAAAAAAACTGCCCTTCAAGTTCTGTGCAGAACTGCAGCTTCAACTCAAAATAAATAATTGTTTTGAGCAAACAAAAGGGGGAAAAGTAAAGAAAATTAATGTTGTGACAGCACAAACATATACAAAGGGCACGAAGCTTCAATGCTTCCATTCAAGTAAAGAAAAAGTAAAAAGCATTAATCACAGGGCAACTTTACTTGACATGGTTCAATTCCGCTACCATGTAGCGAACCGATAAGGTTTTCATAATCACAGCATTTGGAATTTCATTTCCGCTTTGGCAAGAAGAAACCCTACCTCCCGAAGGTCACACTCGTCTTCATCGAGCACCTTCATAACGGTTTGAATATCAATATAAAGCATGTCATCACCGTCATCATCTCCAGCAGGAAACGGTTCCGAAAAGTCCACGTCATCATCCGCCATCACCGCCACAACAACAAACCCAATCGCATCGATTAATAAACCTAAACGCGCATTCTCAAGATTTGACAAACACCACACTTCCGCATACGCAAAGGCTCATCCTCCGATTCCAAAATCAGCTCGTCGAATCGCATCGTAGAGAATTTAGTGATTGTGGAATCAATCAAGATTGAGGAATCAGCGTAGGTTTCTTCGAGGGTTCGACTTTTCGTCCCAAATTAGCAGCCAAGAGTCAGAAAAGGTTGAAGTGAATCGAAGAGAGAGAAAAAGAGAAAGTGGTGGATCGTGAAGAACGCGGTGTGCGTAGTTTTAAATAGGGTTTGGGTTCGTTACGGAATGGTGCGCAGGTTAAGAATTCGTGCGCCACGCCTACGTCATTTTGCCTGTTTCTATACTTTACGGTGATTTTCACACTTGATAGTTCACTGTTGTTGACTAGGAAAAGACTTCAAACCTTATTTGGTTCATGAATTTTTTTTAATTTAAATATATTAAAATTAATCTTTAAACGTGTAATTTATATTTATTTTAATTTTTAGAAGAGAAAATATTAAAATTAACGTTTGAATAGATAGTTTGTCATTTAATTTTGGGCTTGTTGGGTTTTTTCTTAAATTATTTTTAGTTTTAATTATAAAATTACCATGTTATTTTTATTTTATTTCCCATTTTTATGTTTTGTACAAGAAACAGTAAAAATAAAAAAAATATCATTGTAAGTATTTTCTTTAAAATCAATAATAAAATTAAAAAATATTTTAATTAAAAATAAAAATAAAAAAATTAAACAGCTTCTTTTAGTCTCTCATCTAGAATATGTGAAAAAAAATTATATAAATAAAAGTATATTACATGTAATGTAACTAAAAATCTATTTCGTTAGCGTATCAATGCATTTAAAGTTTCACATTTCTACTTTTATAAGAATTGGCTAGCAAATTTAATCGTACAAATATAAAATTTAGTTAATTGTTTAATTATAATCATCGAAATCTCTTTTAAAATATAATTTTTCATTAAGATAAAAAAAATTTTGATATTTCTACTAAACTTAATTTACTTCTGTACAGTGTACACATAGTGCAAGAAGATTTTTTAAGAATTTTAAAAAAAATCTACAATATTATTTATTTTTAATTTTTTTAATAGTAAATAATAAAATTAATTTAATTATATTAATTTTATAATTACTAATTAAAAAATTTAAAATTTTTATAACAAAAATTATCTTTTTACCCAAACAAAATATGATTAAGATCTCAATAAATATTTTAAAAATAATTATCTAAAAAATTATAGAATAATAACTAATATTTTTTTTTGAAAACTTCTTAATAATAAAAAAATTTAATTAGAGATATAATAAAATAATTTAAATATAAAACAATAAATAATTCAAAGTTCTTATAAATATTTTTATTAAAATTTAATGTTTGTAAAGTAAAAAATTTAAGATTTAATTTTTTTTGTTAATTATACTTTTATTAAGTGTTGAATTAGCTGACAAAAAATTAACTCAATACTGTTATTTCATTTATTTTATTATATTTTATTATTTAAAATAAATATTTATAAAAAAATTATTTAACATATTTTATATATTTACAAAAAAGTTATATTCTTCTTCCCTCAACCCCCTCGCTCGTCAGTGGCAGCCCCACCCTTTCTTATCCTCAACTTCCGCTGTTATTCTTACATTCACTCTCACCCCTTTCTTGCAACCCATTCACCACCTCCCCCACAACCTCCCCCGACAGTACCTCTCCTTCCTCTCTCACTCCAAAACTTACCTGCAACCTCCGCAGACCCAAACCCAAACTCACTCTCCACTCTATTCCACAAATGCCTCTTCACACCTCATAACTCCTTCACACTCAAAGACCAACTCCATGTCGCAAACCATGGAATGCTATGATAGGAAATTTTGTTGTAGCAAATCATGATTCCTACAGAACTGTAATGGGTAGGTTGCATTTGGTTATAATTTTTTTTCTTTATTTTAATTTTCCATATTTTTGGGTTCTTAGATTTGTGTTTCTTGGTTCTGGGCATTTCAAAATTTTGATCTTTTAGCTTCTGGGTTTCAATCTCTGTTGGTTTTTGGGAGAAAATTAGGATGCATGTTTTGTGTTATGTCCGCAATTGCGTGGGAAGGCATGACATTGTGAAACTTCATTTTGCAACACTATCATAAGAGACTATAGGAGGTAGTTGGGAGGAAGAGCAAAAAGGCAAGTTAAGGTTTTTTAATTTGGAAAAATTAAGATTTTGAGAGGTTAAAGAAGAGAGATTTTTATGTAAATATTTAAAATTTATTTAAAAGATTTTTTAATAAATATTTATTTTAAACAATAAAATATAATAAAATAAATGAGGTGGCAGTGATATAGAAGTGTTAAGTTGACTTTCCATTAGCCAGTTTAGTAATTAATAAAGTAAAGTTGATGATAAAGATTAAATCATAAACTTTTAACTTTGCAGGAACTAGATCTTAAATTTTTAACTTTACAACTAAATCTTAACAAAAATATTTATAGAAATTTATCACAAAACGATATATATTTATAAGGACCAATAATATATTTAAACTTTTTATATTATATGCTTATAAGTTAAGCTCAATATGAGAGAGTTTTTTTTTATATAATTACTCTAACAGTGCATAATCAAAAATAAAATTAAACCAAAACATAATACTTTAAACAAGAATAATAATATTTATTAATTATTATAGTAACTCCTATAATTCTTTTTAAAAATTTTCTAATAATGGAAAAATCTTTAAATTTGAGATACAATAAAATAAAAAATAGTTAACCAAATAAATTATGGAATAATAGTTAATATTTCTTTTTAAAAGCATTCTAATAATAAAAATCTTTGAATTAGAAATATAATAAAATAATTTAAAATAAATATTAAGTCATATTTTATATAATATGCTTTTTAATCAGGCTTAACACCAGAGTTGTTTTTATAATTACTCTAATGATGTATAATTAAAAATAAAATTAGATCAGATTATAATACTTTAAACAAGAATAATAATATTTATTAATTATTATATTATACCCTATAATTCTTTTTAAAAAAAATTTAATAATAAAAAAATCTTCAAATTATAGATACAATAAAATAAAAAATAATTATCCAAAAAAATTATGGAGTAATAACTAGTATTCTTTTTGAAAACTTTTTAATAAAAAAAATTAGAGATATAATAAAATAATTTAAATAAAAACAACAAACAAATTGAACTAAATATTAAATTATATTTTATATTATATGCTTTCTAATTAGGCTTAACATAAAAAAAATTCTATAATTACTTTAACAGTACATAATCAGAAATTAAATTAAATCAAAATAGAATATTTTAAGCAAAAATAATAATAATTATTAATTATTACAACATACTCTATAAATAATTTCTTTGATGACTATATGTATATATTTTGCTATAAAATAATGGTCACACTTACAATAATAGCACCTATAATAATTAAAAATAATAAAAATTATCAATCATAAAATATCTAAATATTTTATCTTAATTGTAATATTGTAATCTTTCTATAAGTTTATGAAGGAATTGAATCTTTTTCATATAATTACTCTAACAGTGCATAATTTAAAATTAAATCAAAATAGAATCCTTTAAATAAGAATTATAATATTTACTATATTTTAAAAATAATTGTTTTGGATAACTTTGAAGTAGTACAAAATATAAGATATTACCATTGCATTAGTCATACTTTCAAGATCAATGTCTAGTTTTCAACTTTCATTCATCTTTGTGAGTTTACTTATGTTATTCATCAATTTAGGTTTACATTTATCTCATTTAGTAATATGTTGTCTTATAGAATTGATGATCGAATTTTATTTGGTATGTCATTTCTTCTATGGTACTTTTAATAATGTGACAAATAGTGCTTTTAATATTCATATATTTTGTGGAGTCACTGATAATTATTTTTCAACCATTTAGATGTCATTGGAAGAGTTAATGAGATTGAATATTTACAAAAAGTTTGTAGAAAGTTGATTTTACATCTTAGGAATATTGAGTGTGTTTTTGGTTTATTGTTTAACCTTAGCTGTTTATAATTTATCTTCATTGAAGATTTTGATTCTCTTTTAATATATATTTAAATATTTCTTTGACTTATAAGCTTTGTAATGGTAGTAACTATTAGCTTTTAGGATAGCTTCTAATGATTGAAGTAGAGGTCATATCTACAAATAAATTTGGTGAAGGTGTCATGATACCATGCATGGTTATAATAATATTAGACATACAAATGTTTTTTAAGTTCCAGCCTCAACAGTAAATTTTGCAATAATAATAAAATAAAAGTTAATGTCAAACTTTGTTTAATGTTAGTTTATATTTGTTAAAACTTATTTTTTGTCATCGACAATTATATTGGACTATCTCTGAAGTTAAAAATAAAAAAAATTTAAGATTCTAATATATGATAGGAAAGCATTATTTTAAATACAACTGCAAATATTATTTACAAGGAAATTTTTTGATAAAATTTTGTAATATTTAGTTAATTATTATAAATTAATAATATATAATTTTAAAAAAATTATTTTATTTTATTTCCATAATAATTATTATTTTCTTATCAAAATTCTGTGTATCGCATCGGTAAAATACTAGTACAATTGTAAAATTATATTTGTATTAATTTTAAATAAATTCTTTCATTTTTGTATAATTAACATCAAATATTTTGTTAAAAAATTATATTAAAAATATATTTTTAAATTGTTATATAATATGATCATTGGCGAGTACGAAGTGTTGAATGTACAAGCGAATACTATTTAATGGTTACAAAATATAATTTATCCCTTAGTTTAAATATTAAGCTATAATTAACTTATTATTACAAATAAAATAATAAATTTTTGAGTAAATATCAGTAACAACCTTTAAAGTTTGCTACTTAACACTCCATTCTTTCTTAAAAATTGCAACCCCCTCACTTAAACTAACGGCATTAACAGTTCTATAACTCTCAGTTAACTAATGTTTTTTTTGTCACAAAATTTACTAAGGTTAGCACAATATGAAAGAAGGTAAGTTTAGCTTAAAAATGAGGAGTGAAACCTCGTACAGATCAGACATCTTATAAAAATCTTATGGGTCTTCTTGCTTAAAGTGATTCTTATACGGGTATTTTTCACAGTTCAACTTGTGATTGTGTTGTGGGTATTAACTGCAGAGTTTTGCAGATATGGAT